GCCAGATCTAGCGGCTGGGCGTGGTGCTCGATGCCGGGCGCGGCGGTGCCCCGAAGCAGGCCGGCGATGGTGGCGTTCGACGGGCGGCGAGCGGCATGGTGGTGGTGCGGGCCGGTGGTGGCGTCGGCGGCGGTGCCCCTGGCAGCGCTTCGGCGTTGCATCCGGTGGTGTTCTGATGGGGGGCGGCGCGGCAGCGGTGGTGGTGGGCTGCCCCCACCCAGTCGGACCCTCGCGGCTGGGTGGCGGCGCTTGGCTCGGTGGATCCCCCGGTGGCGTCTTCAGGTGGCGGCGGAGACGGCTCCGCAACCCTCCCTCTCCGGCTTCTCGCGACAGCCGATGCCTCCTGATGCTCTGGCCCTTCGAAACGGGGGCGGAACTCGGTTTCGGGGGGAAGTTGGAGCCGACATGGGTGTCGGTCGTGGCCATGGGCCACTTCTCCACCTTCCCCTTCCCCCGGTCGATGTGGTTGCGGCCCTCCTCGAGGCAGCTTGGCCGGCGGCGGTTCTGGAGGTGGTTGGGGTCGTGGATCCGGGCAAAGTCGTGGCCTTTGGTGGCTTCGGGGTGGTCTCATGGCGGGGCGGCGGCCCTGGCGGCGGGAGTCGTGCATTGGTCATGGGCGGGCTGCGTGGCTCGGATGCGGGCAGGCAACCATGGCTTCTTGGGCGGCGTGGCTGCGGGTGTTGTCAGACCGGGGTGGTAGAAGTGTTGAAGCATCGGGGCTCATCACCTACCCAGTGTGTCTGGTCAACGCTGACGGCGTCCGTGGATGTCGTGTCCTCCTTGCAGGCTCCGTCGTGGTGCTTCTTCCCCTTCCATCTTACTCCGGGTGAAAACTCGATCCTCGGATCGGGCGGTGGCGACGTTCATGGCCGTACCCTTCCTGGAGGCACCGTCTTGGAGTCCTCGGTCCGGCATGTCCGTTACACATCCTCCCGGCCGATCGCTCCTCGTGGTGGTGTTCTCAGTCGGCTCTTAGCGGTTTCGTTTTGCTCATCTTTTAGGTGCTTTGTAGTCGTTGTGGTTGTGTGTCGGTGCCCGACATTCATGTATCTTGCCTTGGGTGTGTGGTGTGCATTTGTATTGGATGCTTTGTTGTTGTGGTTCGTGCTTTATAATATAAAGAGGGGGGAAACCCTTTTTCGTAAAAGATGTCAATCCTATTAACCCTCAGGAGTTTAGCTTGAGCATGAAGTCACATGTTTCACTGTTTGAGTTTGAAACTATTATTTTAAAAAACAATAATTATTTAGTAACACTAATATTTCTTGAAAAAGTAGTTTGACCATTGTTTGACCGCAGTTTGACCACAATTTAACCAGACTTGACCAAAATTCAAAAAAAAAATCTGAAATAATTATTTAGTAACACTAATATTCTTGAATAATTATTTAGTAACACTAATACTTCTTGAATAAGTAGTTTGACCAGATTTAACCAAAATTAAAAAAAAAACTGAAATTTGAGCATAACTTTTTTTCCTTTTAGAATTTGAGGATTCTAAAAATTTGCAAAACGGCTTATGACGGTCAAAATTGGATGCGGATTTTCTTGCTGAACATTTTGATATATTATACGTTTTTCCGACATCGTATGCAAAAGTTATAGCTGTTTTACTTTTTTATAATTTTTTTTTGCAAAGACATGTCCAAATTTAAATTTTTTAATTTTCCTAACTAGTAGATGCAGTAATATAACTACATCTCGAAGGATTTTTTTT